ATAAACTGAGTGAAAACGCATGTAAGGGATGAAGTGAAAGGCGAAGAAAATGACTATGCAAATAACTGCGGTATAACTTTTAACATGATTTGCATCAAATGAGTTTAATAACCGGTCAAATGAGGTGTCTTAATGGCTGATTAGTAACTTACCAATAAGGGCCATGAGTTTCAAAATTCGAAAATCGCGTTGGAGTCCCAAGAACATGGCTTGGGCCGGTTTCTCACGAGGCCGGGTTTTTGAGAAAACAAATGGTCAAAAATTATTAAGTCCAACATGGACAATGGTCCAGCCAAATACAAGACTCAAAAGACGGTTGAACTCAAAATGTAACTTACCTTAAAAATATAGTCAAAGCATAATTTAAGGGATTGAGAGGTTACAAAACCCATTCAAAATTTAAAACAAGAGCTTCTAGAATGCATGCATGGAGGATCGAGAATGATAATGATTTGGGCCAAATATGAACATTTGAGGTTCGGGTCGAAACGACGCGAAAACGGATTAAAATCGGTTTACTCGATTAAACCGAAAATCGCCGAAACAGTTTAAAATTCCAATCAAATAAATCCACACTTTCTAACACATAAATAATTTAATTAAATGATCACGTACAACATTTCACATAGTAATTAAATAATTAAACAGATGAAAGAGACGAGCAGTTCATATCATGACAGACATATAAATAACACAAATGAAAATAATCAATAATATGAAAATAAGTAATAATATAATAAAAAAATAAATTCTAATAAACAAATGGGGCGCTACAATAATGCAAGATAATAGAGAAAATACTAACATTAAGCTCTTAATTTCCGTGCTTTCTCCAATTTGCACATATTCATCAAAGAGATCAGCTGCACAACCATACGCCAACATGCTCACTGCCGCGATCATTTTTCGTAGAGGACTTCCCTTTTTCCCCACTGCATGAACCTTTTGTGTAAAATAGTAATCGTAATTTTCAATTGCTCATAAAATGCATTTGAATAGTTCTATATCCATTCGAAATCGACGGCGAAAATGTTCAGGTGTGTACTTTGAGTCATTGCCTTTGAAATGGTCATTAATAATTAATTCATGACATCCTTCTCTATCTCGAGGAATGTAGCGTCTACTGTTAGTCGTCCCACCATGAGGGCGTGAGGTGCTTGTTAATAAGAATGAAGAAATTATCATAGGAATGTGAAACGAACAAGTTTGTTGTACAACCTCGCAGTTCAATTCCTCAAAAATGTATCATTTCCTAACGGCTTGCCAATTAGTTGCTTGGTTAGCGAAAATGCATCGTCGCTTGATGATGAGCTATTAGAATCCAATTCGTAGTCAGGTGAATCCATCATGTATAAATAAGCATGCGTTGAAAATATATATGTTAATAAAGAATTTATTAGTGAAATAATATAATATATGTACAAATTTATTAAGAAATATACGTATATATCGGTCTTCGTGTAAAAAAAAAAATATATTTCTTAACATGATATATAAGTGATTTATCTTTACGAATAGAGGATACATGAAAATATTCTTCATTAATATGTATTTATTAATATATAAATTAATATATATTATAATAACTCAAGGAAAGATATACTTAATTCATAGCTTAATAATTAGTATTTTTATTAAATAATAATAGTAATCCTCCTATTTGATTAATTTTTTGTAAAACTTTCTTGAGTATTTTACTAACTATTAGTATTATAGAATACTTGATAATTCTTCTATCTACTTTCTAAAATATCTAATTGACTTTAAATAACAAATAATGTGTCGAACATTTACACAGTAATGTAATAGACAAAACTAGTAATACCATTTGATTGGATGTGATAATACTATAGTCATCCATTCGAATATATACATATATATATATATACATATATATATATATTTAAGATGTATAACTCTATGATAACTATTATATATATAAATAAAAGTATCTAAAGTATAGTAAAAAGAAAAAAAAAAATATAACAAACCTGATCGAAGGATACATGAACACATATGAGTCTCCAGGTATGTTTAAAATGAGTCTCTAAATATTTTAAAATCAGATTTCACGAATACTCATTATTCAATGCTACTAAAAACTCGTTCAATTTATTAACAGAATCCCAATAACAAGTACTAAAAACTCGTTCAATCTATTACAAGTTTAAAAATCAGCAGAGTCACAGTAACAAGTATGAAAGAGCAGTTTAACAGAATCCCTACGAAAGAAAGTGTGGTGCATTGTACGAAGAATTTGACTGTCCTATTCTTACTGTCAGTGTTGATATTGATCAGTTATCCAATTAAATACAAGCATGTGTCATGAACATTTAACATTCACATTCAGTGCACTGGAGATGCTATAAGAGCATCTCCAATGCTCAATGTTGTAGTGGTATTTTACCTTCTACATCAACACATTTATTAGTATCACAATTGCTCATCCTCCAATGTACAATATGATCACAAATGTTGTGATGATGTGGACATTATTAATGTCTACAATGTAGAGAAGAATGTGGTTCATTCACATTCTACTCCACATTCTAATTAGCCAATGAGGAGAAGAGAGAGAATTATTATTACCATTTTCAAACTATTTAATTATTTTATTAATTTTATTAATTCGTATTAAAATTTTAGTATTGGCAAGTAGATAATATTGTAATTAGGCAACATTGTGCATTGGAGATGGTTTTTTAATTTAATAGTTGTGAACTCAATATTTGTCCAACATGGTTCACAATCTATTTAATTTTTTGACATTTGTCAAAAAAATTTCTATAACAACATTAGAACATTGGAGATGCTCTATGTTCATCCATCTTCTTTCCATACATAACTCACATCTCAATTCATCATAATATTATCGCGCATCTTGTTCCCTCCTATATGGTAGGTTTACTTTACAGGAATACTCCTCCGTGAGCTTGCTTCTTCATTCCTTATATGGTAGGTGCATCTGCTCTCTTTCCATGCAAGGCAAGTCTCTCTCTCTCTCTCTCTCTCTCTCTCTCTCTCTCTCTCTATCTTCCTCTTCATGGTAAGTTCGGGTGCATCATATATGGCAGGTCTCCATGATTCTCGTCCTTCAATCTTTCCTATATACCAAATTACCAAAATTAGTCCATACATAGAACTAGATAATAAGGAAATATATAAAATCGAACTTCCATTTGACTTAGAGAAACCTTCTTCTTGCCATCTTAATTTTGACTTCAAGATCGAGATTTCCAAATTACAGTCAAACAAATCAAATTATTACATGTACGTAGATGACATGGTTATTATTGGAAGCAATGATAAAACTATTAAATCCACAAAATATATGATAAATTCTAGATTTCACATTAAATATATGGGGCTAATTGACTTAGAGAAACCTTCTTCTTGCCATCTTAATTTTGACTTCAAGATCGAGATTTCCAATTTACAGTCAAACAAATCAAATTATTACATGTACGTAGATGACATGGTTATTATTGGAAGCAATGATAAAACTATTAAATCCACAAAAGATATGATAAATTCTAGATTTCACATTAAATATATGGGGCTAACTCATGTGATTCTTAGAATTAAAATTCATAGAACATCACAAGGAACTGTTCTGAGTCAGACAAATTATGCAGAGAAAATCCTTGAAAATTTTTACAAGGACCCCGATAGATATAATTAAACATATATAAAAAAATAAACGACTAAGTATTTCTCAAGTCGAATACTCAAGGGTAATAGGGAGATTGATGTATCTAATGAATTGTACTAGACTAGACAACACCTTTGCCGAGAATAAAATGAGTAGATATACACGTAATCCATGAAATGAACACAGGAACAGAATTGTGTGACTGGGGCGGTTGTACTCGGCTAGTGGTGTCAGAAGGGTGGGGCTGTGCTGGTCTTGGCTAGTTGTGTTAGCTGGGTGAGGTTGTGGTCGATATTCCTTTGGTTGGGGCTGGGTCGATCTCGAGTTTGATTCGGGTTTTGGTTTCGGCTTCAGCTAGGCGGTTCGGTAGTTCCGGTTGCAATTTATGCGCCTTTGGATATCTCCTCGAAGTCGATTGTTTATCTGGTGGTTCGGCTCGATCTTTCTGCTGGGAAAAGGCACATTAGTTTAGTTTGTTGTGTGTGTGGTTTTTGTTTTGTTGGTTGTTTAGGTTTCGTTGATTGTTTAGGTCTTTTTGTATTGGGTCATTGGTCTCTATGCGCCCGATTGAGAGCGGATATTATCCCTTTGGGATCGTTTAGTCTTCTGTTTGGGAGTTAGTAATCTTTGGTTTTATGTTGTCGCGAGTGTGTTCTTCTAGCGTTACTTTGTTAGGCTCTAAGCGATCTCCGAGTCTCTCCTCCCAGTCTTTTCAGTCTTTTGTTGTATCTTTAAGCTATCGGCTGGTTTTCTTCGCGCGTTTTTTAGTTATATATAAATCTCTATCGTTCCGGAAAATTAAAAAAAAAAAAAAGAAAGAAAAAAAAAAATGTTTATTAACATGTAATATTGTGTGTAAGTCTTGTAACTTGTTACAATGAATTAACGTTGTGTTGTGTATCACCTCATATTGAATCAACAGGTAATATCATATCATTAGTGTTTGATATTTTTAGTCTTTTCTTTTCAAATACACGGTTTGTCATATCAAGTTTGAATTGGACGTTCCGGCATAAAACCATATTTTCACTTTTAGTTGGCTAAAAACTCAGAAGAACCGAACGTTTGTCTGTCTACTATAAAAGCATCAAGAATTACGCATAGATCTGTTACGCGTTGCAGTTTAGGCTAGATGTTAGAGCAACAAAGCAGAACCATATTCTCATATCAATTCAATAGAAAAAGGAATGTTAAAAAGTTGAAGAGAAAGGAGCAGTCAGAACTCAGAAGCTTTTCCATTATATTAGATTTAGAGCAGTAGTTTGTCATGAAGATAACTTGAGGCAGTTGTCACAAGGACTGGAACCAGTTTTGCAGGCAACTTGATCAAAGGATTCTCCAAAGTGTTCGAGTAGAGCTTGCCTACGGCATTTGTCCTGCAAAAGTTGATTTTGTTTCCACTTTTCAAAGAAAGTTCCACATTTTTACATAAATGCTTAAGGTGTTAGATGGTGATTTACATATTAGCAAACATGCGTGATTTTTGTGTTGTACCTTAAGTTCACAGTATTCTTGCATTTTCCGTGCTTGGTCCATGGCTAACTTGAAGCTTTCCCTTTTACCTGCTTGCCCGCTCCTAAGCATGCATACCACCCGACTGAAATCCTTTTTCTGGTACAGAAGAATGCATGTGGCGGGAAGATTATCACGTCCAGCCCTGCCCGATTCCTGATAGTAGCTCTCAATTGATTTGGACATGGTGTTGTGAATAACAAAACGCTGAAGAATGGAGAAAAAAGAAATTGTTACAGGAGGATGAAGAAGTTACTCAACACCCAAAAACAAGAAACAATTGATTACTCTGAGATTTCATGGCAGGTATTTTGAGCATATCATCACACGGATAGGTGATTAAATAATACTGCTTTACAGTTGGTTGAAAAATAACATGCATGATCCTTTGGTTTGCATGGATTCACAAGCGTGAATTGCTGAAGCAAATTCAATTATGTCGACCGAAATGGAAGAGGCAGAAAATTTCAGATTGAGATGCACTCACCACAGATCTTGACCCGTCAAATGGTCCCCTATACATCAATCTTAATGTTCAAAAATTCAAGAAAAATTCAGAAAATAGATAATTCTAGAGAAACTCAAAAGTATATGAACAAAAAATAGTGAAAAACTTAAAAACCATATAAGGGAAACCCTAAAGAATCCAAGAAACCGGAAAACACTAAGAAAAACAAAAGCCACACATTGAAATAAGTCAAGAACTGAAACCAAAATCTGGGATCCATTTATTGTCAAATGGCCTCACACAAATACTTGTGTATTTTAGATTCGAATGACTCACCACGTCCGGCTTGTCGATTCCCATCCCAAAAGCTATGGTGGCACAAACCACGTTGGCTTCCCCACTATGCCATTTCCTCTGAACAGCTACCCTCTGACGAGCAGCCAAACCAGCATGGTAATATACGGCTTTGATCTTGAATTTCTCGTTAAGAAACTTTGAGACCTCCACGCATTCGTTTTTGGAGAGGCAGTACACAATTCCGCATAAATTCTTGTAATGGTCCATCAGTAGTTTCCCGAGCTGAAGGAGTGGTTCTTTAGTTTTACTTATTACCTCGTACTTAAGGTTGGGCCTATCGAAACTTGTCTCGAGAACCATTGCACGGGGGATTCTCAAGGAATTTAAGATATCCTGCAGATATAAATTGCCGGTGAATATCTCAAAAAGATTCCTCAGTTACTTCCGGATATACATATACCCCAAGATCCAGAAGCCTAACCTTACGTACTGTCTCAGTCGCAGTGGCAGTTAAAGCCATGAGAGGAACACGTGGGAAATTCTGCTTAAGACATCCTAGTACTCTATAATCGGGACGGAAGTCGTGCCCCCACTGGCTGAAAAATGGTTAAGTCGGTTATTAGCCCTACCCCAAACAAAATTGCATCACACTTTTTTCGTTTCATTTCCTTTTCATTTTTCCCCTACTAAAACCAATTTAACTTTATCCAGTTTATCTCTATTTTCATTATCCGGGACCTGCTCAAAGTTATCTACATAAAATTTCACAGAGAAGTACACCTCAGACAGTGGGCTTCATCAACAACAAATCCTGCCAATTGTCCCTGAAATAGAATACAGCAACATGAATTTGTTACATTCATCATCAACAAGTACCATGGAGGCGTGGATTTGAAAGTGCACCAAGCATAAAATTTGTGTTGCCGTTTGACAGCATAATAGAAGTAGACCTTTGAGTGCAGACATTTTAGGACCTCTTGAAACGAAAGGTTTCCAGCAATCCTTTCTGGAGTCACATATAGAAGCTTGCATGAAGGCTTGTCTTTCCTAGAAACATCCAAACAAGTGAAATGCTTGAGCGTGGAATATCATGAGCAACTGAAAAATGTTTGAAAACATCCAAATATGTAGCATTCTTTTAATTTTTTCGGTAATGCCCCAAATTTTAGGAATATAATTTCATGCCAATCTTTTAAACAATTGATAAAATTTATGAAGAGATTGATAATATTTTTTAGGTGTGCTCGGTGTCGACTCATAGCTATCCAATAAATCATATACATCTATGAGATTAGATATCGCCAAATTATATGTTGTTATGTGTGTGTGTGTGTGTGTGTGCGCACGCGTGTGTGCATGTAAGTGTGTGTGTGTAAGTAATGTGGTACCCAACAGTTTATTCATAAGCATGAAGTAGATCAAACGAAAAATATATTTGGTTAAACTACTAATTATTTAGATAGTTTGGCCGTAGAAATTTCTCAAACAAATAAATAAAGTTCAGTATGAAGACCACATGGTAACACACCAGAACATTTTCCATCTTATTATCTGGCAGGATTATGAAAATAAATATTATGATGCACTTTCTAAAGAGGTTTCCAAGAACAAGGAACGAAAGAAAAATGATAGCCTACATTATCGATGTAACATACATATACTGATATAACCAGCAATGTAATACCGAAAACCAAAATATTATGCACAACTGATTTCTGGTACACCATGAGGGTTTAAAGAAGAAATAAAATATGTTGCCTTTGTCCAATAGTGGGCAACTTGAGGCGTATGACATGAGAGAGAAAGGGAGTGGGAAAAGATGTAGAGAACATCTATCAGTATATATAAAGTCCACTCAAACTTGCCTCAATTCTTGAAGAATGGCTGCAGCTTGTGAGGTCTTCTGTTGAGAGTTTAAGAAAGTCGCAGCTATTCCAAATTTGAGATTCAATGTAACAATCTGATCTTGAATGAGGGAAAGGAGTGGAGATATAACAATCGTAACACCTTGTCGTAAAATGGCTGGTAGCTGTACACATTGGACAGGAAGAAAAAAATAAAGAAAAAATTATGTAGCCTGTCAGCTAACTAATCTGTCCCTTGTGGGAGTCATAACTTCAATTATTTTAAACCGAAAAACTAGTTTATTTATAAAATGTCCTAAAATTAGAATTGGCTAGATAGTCTATTAAAAGATTAGAACGCCTCAATGGCTGCACAATGCACAACTTTTTATTCGAAGAATCGGGTGGGTAATGATTAGAATGGAGTAAATCTCTTTAAAAAGAGTCGATAAATCAAACCCTAAATGATTGCAAATTTGTGACAAGAAAACTCGAGCTATCATTCATACATAATTCTCTGAATCCCGTAAATGAGATTACATCACTACTTTTGTTAAGAAACCACCTACCAAATTGAAATAATCAAACATGGAGACTGATCATAGAAAAGACCCGCAGTATCTTAATGGTATGGTATTCAAGTTTCTATTTCAGTATACCCAAAGGAGGACAGCCAGGTTTTACAGGCAAGAAAGAGCTAAATTGTCCAACAGCTGTTGAAATGAGACAAATCCCCAGCATGACAACGATGAACTATGAAGAACTTCTTCTAACACGACGTCTATTTCTGATAAAGTAAATCTGACTGCATCAAACACCATTAGTAAACCATAATTCTGAGATATTTTAGTAGCACACAGAAAATAGGCTTCATGATGATGTGTCAGCAAGACAAGTTAACTAATCTGAATCTCCATATCTAATGGACACATATATTAGTGAGACTTGCAGAATAGACAAGCATAAGATAAAAAATGTTATATTGGTGATGTGGCTCCATCACTGTCTTGGAAACATATTAAAGAAAAGATAAAGGCCGAACTCTGTCAGTGTGACTCTGACCTGGTAGCAAAGACTTTTACCCCCTCCAGTGGGCATTAGAACAAAACAGTCATGGTTATCAAGAAATGCTTTACAAGTCCGATACTGCAACGGCCGAAAACTTCTATTACCAAATACAACGACATTCGCCAATTCAATATCATCCAGTTTCTGCAGCTCTGCGTATGTGAGAGTTCCCTGAGCATTTCCATACTGTTCTTGGGTAACTGATGAACGTGAACAATCAGTTGGAGCAACGGTGCGTTCCTTCAAAAGAACTTCACATTAGTAACCTAAAAGTGGAAAAAGATTCAATGAAATCATTCATTCTCTTTCTTTGAGTAGAGGAAAGGTGGATGAAGGATTTGAGGCAGCTATGATGCATGTTAATCATATCCATCAGCATGCCTAAGGAAGTGAACACTTTTAGCCTAGTCATGAACTGTCTTAAAGAATATCAGAAATTACACCCTCTGTCCCACTGATGACTATTAGCCTAGTTTTCATGAGACGGAGGATAATATCTAATAATCCTAAATGCAGCTTATTGTTCGTTCCATTTTTGTCGTGTTTTCCTCGTTTATTTTGCATTTATTTTTTCCCATTCTAGGTTATTTTCTTTGGTTCTTGGTCCATTTTATGTCGTGTCGTGTGCTTTCTTTATTTTGTTCGTTTTTGGTTTTTCTTGTTTCTTTGCCCCGGTTTTCTGCGTTTTTCTTGTCGGTGGTGATGTGCAGGGTAGGTAGTTCGATTGGGGAGTGACCATGCGAGGATAATTATCTAGACGGATGAGTTGGGGTCGAGTAGGAAAAGACGGAATCCAATTCCGAGTCCGAATGAGCGGATACGAGCCCGGAAATCACAGTCATGTCACAGAAAGCATTCACCGCGGCCCGCGACAGTGTTCCCGCGGCCGCGGTGAACAAATCACACAAGGCACCCAATTTTCTTCGCCGCGGCCGCGGAGGTGGAAGTCGCGGCCGCGGAGAGGTCGAGATTTTCAAACTGGTGTACAGAGGCAAAAACCCGCGGCCGCGGACCTTTCCTTCACCGCGACCGCGGGACATGTCGCGGCCGCGGAACTCGCGTTTTCAGAATTTAAATTAGCAGTTTTTTTTTATTTTGAAAAGAACATTCGTTTTTAGATCTAAGTTCGGAACTCTCTAGGGATTTTCACCCAAAAACTCAACTTTTCCCTTGTTTTTGATCTTGTAATTCGATCAGAGGAAAACTCCGGGATTCGACCTTTGGATTCGGTTGTTCTTGTTTTCGACATTGGATTATTCAATCGTAAGCTTTCATTTGGTTTTATTATTGATTGAATGGCTTTGATTATTATGTTTGTTGATGTTGAATGCATGATGAGTAGCTAAATCCATTAGCTAGGGTTAGGGGAAGATCATTCCGGTTCGATTTTATTCTTACGCATGATAATTGCTCTATCCTCTCGAGTTGTGCTTAGCCTAGGGTTTTGATGTTTGATCACCATCTTAATCTAATTAATCGATTTTATAACTAAAAAGGGAGAAATCGTTCGATCTAGGCTCGTTAGGAGTAAGCTTGTTCGTTATAGTATTGCTTATGTGTTGATTGTCTCAAGAATTACTCGTCTATGTCTATCCTCTTGTTACGAAAAGTTATTGAGGATAGATCTCTAGATGAATAGTTTTGTGAGGCCTTTAACCGAGCTTTTGTTTGCTCGTTGAGTGCATTGAGAACCGGAATTGATTGACCCCGATACCCTAGCTCCTTTATAATTATTTGAGTTTGAACTTGTGATTCCTCGTTTTGCTTAGTTTTTCCAATTATTGGCTTTTCAACTCGTAGTTGATAATATTAAACCAAATCAATCGTATTAGAGTGTTTAGGACTTTTTCATTATTTCGTGTGATCGAATATCCGCATAAAATAATCCGGCTAACCTTCCTCGTGATACGACCCGGTGTCGAATCTTTGAATTCTACTCCGGTAAAAATATTAACAACACTTATGACTAGGGAGTATATTATTTATCCATATATAGTTTCAGATGTTATGGACTCAGAAATAATAAGCATGAAGCATTTTCATTACCATTCTAAAAGATGGCCATTCATTGTTATAGTTGGTGATTGATTAGGGAGAATAATTCCTCACAAAAATTGATGGAAGTTCAATAGAACTTGGAGAAGGACAGAACTATTCCCATCTATCTTCTATAGGAACATCTGTTGAAGTCTCAAAATTTTTAGAAGTATTGGCTTACCTCTTCATCGTCGGTTGAAGAATCCAAATGCATGATATTTTGATGCTTCTGAGGTTCAAGAGATTCATTAATATGGCTACTCCCTTGTGTATCCTTGAAAGCATAATTCTTAGATAGATCCTTATCCAGTATCTGAGACAAAGCTCCACATGCTTCTAATTCCATGGCTTGGACATCATCCCAATCCTCAGTATCTGGTACAAACTCGGCAAGTGATGCCAGAAAGTCATCACCACAGTGCTCCACAGTGATGAAATCTCGTCCATCATCACCTTAACAAGAGGAAAATGATGATGATAATGATATATGATCCAGGATAACAAGATAGCACTTGAATTCAACTTAACTTTCAATGAAACAACTTTGAAATCAAGCCATCAGGCAAAAAAAATTCTTGAGTAGATATGTAGGGTAAAAGGTACATCTGTAAAAAATAGCTTTTTGGAGGACAGTTCTGTGACCCTTCCCGTAAAGCTAGTATATGCATCATCTAAATCTTGCATTAACTCAGTATTATTGGACTTCATAGTTCTACTCTAGACCCTTTACCTTTTCTTAGCTTTTCTGTGCACCTATCAAGGATGTTGCAATATCCTACATATATAGAACTGTACATTTTTCACTGCACTGTCATTCTCGATCCAGATAAAGTCGCAATACGCATTTACGTTCATGTCCTTTTGAAAATAATAATAATTAAGAAGCTTGGAACATTACCCTCCTTCATTACGCACTCATTAGATATGCAATAAAACCGTAGCCCACAAATCATTTGCAGATTCTGTAGCAGCGACATGTGAATCCTGTAAGTTATTTGAGTGACATCTCAAATCAAGATTTATAGACAACTGCACTTGGCTATGTAAAATCCTGAAAGATGTTTAACAGTTTAAGTCATGTATATCCCCTAAATATAGCTGAGATTACTTTATGTATGAGCAGGATTTAATGCTTTTAACATTAGAGAAAAATAAAAAGTATTTCTCTTACAAGACACTTTCTCTACATCTTCGAAAACGTTTCCCAAGCAAAATCTTGACGCGATATGCTGAATGTGCATATGTGTTGCCTACCTTTAACTCAACGCATAAGCTTTACCCTTTCATTGCCCAAGCGGTCGACCAGTCAATTGTTTTATACGCTCATATTATATGAGTGTCGAACATTGCTGCTCATTCCAGTAAGTCCATAGCACAATAACAGATGAAAACGAAAATTCCACCATAAGCAATACAGCCCATTTTCAGCAAGACGTATAACTATAATTTCCATAAACCTGGACTGCTCTGTGGTACAACAAGCAAAGAACAGCACAATTAAGCAACTACGAACAAGCATATTTCGTTCTGGTCCTTGAGAGAGCGAGAAAAGAAGAAGGTAGAGTTTGGGGCATTGGAATGAAAAATGGAGAACTGACCATAGAGGCGAACAAGGCGATCCAAGCACTCGTTGGCAGAGTCCTCGTCGAATCCGAATTCAAGGGCCAAGCTAATCAATCTCGCCTTCTCCAACTCCAAATCCTGATCGTCCATTCTCCCCGCCGGCGAACCGCGATGAATTTCCCTCAAGTTAGAATGTATGTATGTATGTAAGTCTTACGGCAAGGAAAGGAGGTGGGGTGTTTTTGAGTTGGAGCTGCCGTTCTTTTCTGACAGTCCACATTTCATGATTTGGGCTTTTTATCCGTTCTTTTCTGACAGTCAACACTTCATGATTTGCGCTTTTTATGATTAAACGAGCCCACATAAAATAAGCCCTTTTATATATGAGAAAATTGCACCCCATACTAATATACTTAATTTATATCACACTTTTATATTTTTATTTTTAAAATCACCTAAACAAGCTAAAAAAATTTCAATTATACCTAATACACATTGGTAACCGTTATTAACTTTTTAAATGCTAATGAGATGAGCATGATTGGATATAAAAGTTTTTGGTTTTATTTGAATTTTTTTGTTTGGTTTGGTTAGGTTTGAAAAAGTTGGTATGGTTAATTGTTAGTGGATATATTAAAATAATATTTAATATAAAATGATTAAAGTGATTTGATGTAAAGTAGGAAAGAGAAGATTTGAAGTGAAGGTTAGTTAAAATTATGTGAGTGGATGAATAGTAAATTAAGGTTGATGTGTTGTGTAAGAATAATTGATTGATATTATTTAATTATATTGATAATATTGATGATAGTGGGGTTGAGTTAAAGTTGAGTTAAAAAAGTGGTTGGGTTAAAAATGTTTGGATTTTTTTGAGAATTTTTTGTATCAAATCATGCTCTAAGTGAATTAAAGATGCACTAAAAAAATGGAACAAAAAAATTCAACCAAAACCACCCCACCGCCCCACTCATATGAATTTGCACAACCGCTCCATATCCGCTGATCAACGCAAAAATCTGGGAAGATAGAGATCGAAGCAATGGTCCTAGGTCGTCAGATCCGCTGATCAACCTATTCGAACGTCAATTTTTCGACGGTGAGACGCTCCTCTTCTCGATCTTCTCAACCGTCATCATCATCTTCCCCCACCATCGTCGGATCCGTTCTCATGTCGGGCCTCATGGTCGGAGTCAATATTGTCTGTTTGCACGGTGCTTTTAGGGCTCCTGAAGATCTGTTCCTTGATATTAATTTGCATTTTTGTGATTGGTGTTGCTTTAAACAGTGGAGCGCCTTTGAGCCACATTCCATGTAATTTGATAATGTTTATCCCACAGATTTTGATACTTAACATAACCGTTCATCCTTTGATAATGTCTTATTGAAATCGATGCGGACGACGGTTGTCGTTGGCGTCGTTGAACTCGAAGTCCTGGATAGTGTCTAGGTTGGAGGCGTTGCCGACTATGGTGGAGTTGAAGAGACCGAGGTACTGGCTGAGCTGGGCGGAGGCAGGTGCAAGACGGGGAGATATATTGAAAATATACTGAATATATTAGTTATTGTACATCTAGTTTATGTCTTCTGTATTAGTTTATGTAGAGTGTATATGAATTATATGTTTAGTATATGTACGTCTTAGGAATATGTAACACAATCCCGGATTAGTATATGTTGAGTTTATATTTAGTATAAAACAAAGGATATCATATCCCTCCCTTTATATAATTTTAGAATATGTTGAGCCTAAATGTGAGGCTCGCATGCTTCGGAAACTCACTTGGCATAAATCTATGCTTTGTATTAATACATGTCTAGGTTCGGTTGCCTAATCATCTGTCATGACAGTATATATTGAGTTTATATTTAGTATATGTTGCAATAATCTCCTAATATACAAAAAAAAAACAAAAAAAAAAACAAATTGTTCATTTGTTAGTTTCGTCTTCAATGAAATATTCTCTTAATATACCACGTATAAACTCAACATATAGTAGTTCGGGATTACGTTGCGGGTATATGTTGTGTGTATATGGAGTATATGTTTAGTATATGTTCTGTATATTTAGAAGATTTTTTTGTATAAGAAATATAAGTAATCTGTTATAATATGTTTATAAACTATATGTATACTTTTATGGGTAATTCTACTGTCAGGTACCCCTCGTACATGCCTCGTACATACATAACAACAGGTACCCCTTCAATTATTGCCAAGTGTCCCATTTCATAATAAATTTAAAAAAAACGAAAAAATCATATAGGCTATTACAAAAATGCCCTTACTAATTAAAAAAAGGTTTAACTATTATAATATTTATTTAAAAGGTGTTCAATTATTCATAAATTTAAATTAAACCTGAACACATTAACATATTTCAATTAAACCTCTTCTTAATTAAACGAATTCATACATTCATCACATTCTTCCGATCATCTCTAAAAGTCATCTTCATATAGAGGTCTCGCAGAGCCATACTCAACACCAGAACGCAAAGACATACAATATTCGTAAGCTATGTATGAACTTGGTGAAGGAATATCAAAAATCCATTGTACATTCAATGATTCCAACCGTTAAAACGAAATATGTTGATTTTCGAATCCCAATCGCAGGCAAGATAAATGAAAGTAAATAGTTTGAATGGAAACTGGAACCTAACTCTGTCAATTGTGCATTTGTGTATTTAAATTCGTGTTCAAATTTAGCGATGCAGGTATTTACACGATCTGTGCAATTTTAATATTCATATATATATTTTCGATAATTGATTTATTGCGAGTTTTTCCTCGTTATGATCTAATTTGGATTTTGATTTGAGGATGCGGGGTATTGAAGAGACTGATTTGTTGTATTTGTGATATGATTAACAAGCATATTACTTAATCGACGAAATGTCTGTGTGAGGTTGATTAATGTGTTGTTTTATTTATTAATTTGCTATTGCTATACACGATTTTGATATAATAATGGTGTGTAATGGCTCTCAATACCTTCATAATGGTTGTGTTCTCAAGGATGGGATAAACACCAGAATTCTCAAGGATTCTTGGATTGAAGGAGTGAAAGGGGGATGGGGTGGAATGTGGAGATGCTGAAGTAGTTTTTGATAATTATCTGGTATATGAAATTTAAAACTTAGATCTTTTTACCCTACCAAAAAAGAGAGATGGTATTGGATTGTGGATCTATCAGGCATATTCTCAGTCAAATCAGCCTACTTTGCATTTGTTGGATACAGATGAGGGGAATGATACAGCTGACAGAGACAAAAGAGCAAGATCAAGTTGTTGGAGATTGTACATCAAATGCAAACTGAAGCTGTTTGTGTGGAATTTTTTCACTCGAACTCTACCAGTTGCAGGAAATATTAAACAGAGAGGGTTGTGATTGATGAGGGCAGTGATCACCTCCTGGAGTTTTATTTTCAGGTGACTGAAGGAGTTTAAGCTTTTGAAGATGGAGATGTATTTGACAATTGCATTTGTTGTGACTGTATGAGTTGATATGTAATTGTACGTTTTTCATATGAATGTGAAGTAATAAAATTTAGAAGTATTTTGATGTATTGTATACATGAATAGACACTGAATACACTCACAGATTTGTAGTCGTTGTTAAACAATGAAAATACACACAATTTGTTTTTGCTGTAGATTAGTGCAATATAGCATAATTTTACAACAATCTGTAAAAAACTGCAAAATTACTGACATTAAGAACCGTATATTGGCAATACTAGATGACTTAAAGAAGACGACTAACCAACGGGCTGAAAATTGAACAAAAACAAGAACTCACGTACAATACAACAAAGGCCAACGACACGTAAGACAAACATAAACAAAAAACAAAAGAGAAACCAAAAATCCCCAAGACACCAGCAATCAGAATCCATAAACAACAAAAAATTGAAGTTGCGGTGAAACCAAATAAACATATGACAAAACTTGAATGAAAAAACAATTGTTCAAACATGTACCTTAAGCGCCAGTTTTCTGACCAGAAGTGGGACATGAACGGTAAGATTAAATGGATTGTGATACACACCGGGCTGTTCCAACAACCACTTAAATGTCCTGAACCTGTCCCTAAGCACGATGTACATTTGGTAAGCGTCCCTAAGTGTATACCATGAACCCGTCTCCTGAACAAAAGTCCTATGTATCTCATGAAACGAATTCAAGATGTCGGCCTCTTCTATCATACGATCGAACACCACAAAGCGTCGTATGATGCGGCATAAGGCTTCCTCCAACCATTCGTCCCATCTTTCAAGCATCCACAACCTCATACGATCAAAGTGTTCTTCTTTTGTTGTTGGCAGCGCAAAATCGCCCATTGCGTTGTTTTGTTATTGTCGCTTGTGGGTTGGATAATTCAAGAAGGAGGAGGTGTAATATATGGAAAACCGAGGCGACTTGTAATAAATATAAAGGGGAGACGTTTCTCAAGTACAGATCGGGTTAAAATATTGAAGAGGTTTCATTTTCTGAAATGGCGTGTTCGTGTATCGATCCAATGATTAATGAGGTTTATTTTTTTTTTTAAACGGTGTCTTATTGCATTGAAGTGATGTGTTGGGATTATGATGACTTATGGATTTGTATATTTATCCTGCCAATAAGGATCATACCTTTTCATTTTGGTGCACGTAATTTTGAGAAGCATGTCAAATCCAGTTAATACGGTTTCACCTTCACATCGTAATTAATATTACTAATAAAAATTGAAATTAATTTATGTATTTTTTTTAATTATTACTAAAGTATTAAAAGAAAAAATAATAATAAGAATTTTGCAATAAAAATATATATTTATTTTGTAAAACGTTTTCTTCGACTAGTAATTCAATATATGCATAGTACTTAATTTTTAGAAATAAACGTCTGAATTGTGTCTATATGTATTCCATTAATATGTAGTGAATTTCGGGATTTTAATTATCATTAATTATTGATATTTAATACTATTAATAAATATTAGAAGTGTGGAAACAGAATCTGAGAGGCATAATAATAAATTCACTTCCATTTGTGTTCATCCTATCCCACAACCAAATAAAATACTTATACACGCCACTCCTAATCTTCGAAGATATATTTTTTTAAAAGTATGCTACTCCTAGAAAATTTCTTATGAAATAAAA